AAAACACTATTTAATTTTAACTTTTCAAATTATTTGGACATTGTGTGTTTTTGTTGATTTTTATTATTATATGTATATATATGATAATTTTTTAATAATAGTTTTTTTTTTTTTTAGAAATTGTATAATATTAAAATATATACATTTTTTTTAATAAAATATTAAAAATCAAAATCAAAATCAAAATAATTTAAAATATCAATAAATATATACCGAGATTACTTAACGTAATAAGTATTACGATTAATTTACCGATACTCCTGCTACTACTATTATTGATTTATTTTCATAAAATAAATTTCACCTCAATTATCTAAGGTGTGTTCTTTTTGTTTTCAAAACCAATATATAGTATTTTTTTAAAAAAAATAATATATTGTATACATTTATTAATTTTTTATATTATCTACATAATTATCTAACTTCACATAAAAAAAATAATTCATTCAAATTATTTTACAAAACAAACATGTCCTTAGCTTTTATTTTTTTGGTTAGATTACTTCTAAAAATATTTTTTTTTTTTCATAAAACTTTACGTCCAACTACTATTTAACACAATACGCAAATACAAACACACCCAAGATGATTGCACCAAATGACTCAATCTTATGGATAACTTCTACAACACACACATTGCAATATATAACGATGATCATATTAATTAATATCAAGAATAATAGTCTCGAATAATATCCGACACTTTTATCTAGAAGCATAAATGATACCCTAGAAACCACATGCATATATCGCCGGGCGTTGAGCTATATATTGTCGCCATCGTATCCTATACACAACAAACACAAATGCCAATCGATTAATCCACTTACATATATATATATATATATATATATATGAATGAGATTCATCTGAATTTAGTTAGGGTGTGTTTGTTTGAAGGATTTTGGAGGATTTCCACTATTCATCCAATTTTTTTCCCCAAAAATATCAAATCAAACACCTATTTTTCATTTTTTATATTATACTAAAAATCAATTTTACATTCAAAACATCACATCAAACCCTATTTATATCACATCATACAACTATTCAAATTCAAAATTTTTACTATTCAAATCCCAATCCAAAATTCAAACCCCCAAACAAACACACCCTAATAAAGAGCATAGGATTGAATGACTATTTGGATGTTCTTGACCAGGTTGTCAATGGCCCCTTAATTTGTCTGTGTATTTTAATTTGCCTACACAAAGACAGCCATCATCAACACAAACACCCCTCGTGACCAAAACACATATACATTTTATTTTATTTTTTTATGTAAATAAATTTAGTTAGGGTTTTTAATTTGTGATATATCTTGCACTAGTTTCCTTATCCACAACAAAATCCCTTTTCATGAAACCCTTTATTATTTATTTATTTATTATTATTATTCAATATATAATTGTTATAATGTGTTTGTTTCCTTCACACACACACACATGCATGCAACCAATCGATCAATTAATTAATCATTGTTACACTTTTGTTAGACGACATGCAATTTCTTAAAATAATTTTCTTCGTTTTTTTCTGGCTTGCTATAGTCACTTTTTATATTATTGCATGTTGGAACAAAGGCAACCTTAATGACCTGTAAGACTGTGCCAGGTTCATGTATATAAGTTGTGCAATAATTGTCCCTCTCTTTTGGACAACATATATATAATTTTGTATATGTACGTGCAGGGTCGACTCGGATTTTTCTAGGATTCCGAATCGTTGGAAAATAATTTCCTCCAATTATTTTTGGTATATGGTTATTCTTGTTTTTCTCCTGCTGTCTTTTACAGTTTTCATTTGGAGAATGATGTTTCGTCAGGTTGCAGCAACATATTGACAACAACATTTTTTGTCTTACACTTTCTTGGTTGGTGAGTACACAAAACAAATGAATGGATGTTTTGGGTGGTCAAATTGCATCAGAATTATAGAGGAATACATCATTTCATTTATGTGCAAAGGATTTTAATTGGTTTTGTCTTACATGCACAACAATGTGACTTTATAGATAAGTGTGGAGTGAGAGAGTTGGTTGTTGAAAGGTTTTGAGAGTGGAGTATAATGAGAGAAATTGAGTTAGATTCTCTCAACTCCAACCCTTCTCTTCTCCATGTATTGAGTGAGTGCTAGACACTTTTACCTGCCGGAGACCTCGTCGGAGAAAGGAGAAAATGGAGTTCCGATCTAGGGAGACGTCCAAATTCTAAGCAGCTCTACTCCGTGGTCTTTGTTAGCACGAATTTGTGACAACAAAAGCCTGTGGAAGGACTTTCCAAGGTAAATCATGTTAGGAGTTTGAGTTGAAAAAAATAAATAATAGATCCTATAAAAATATAATTAATTTTTTTTGAAAAATATTAACAAGAGATATAATAATAAACTCCAAGTAAAAATTATTCTAATTATATATACAAAAAAAAAAAAAAAAAGTATACACACAAAATATATCATCAATTAAAAACAAACAATATCTTAACTATTATAAAACTAATAATTCAATAATAATAATAACAATATGAGCCATCTTGAATGGAAATTGTAGAGAGAGAGAGAAAAAAATAAATAAAATTTAGGGTGAGTTTACTCGTTTGATTTTGATTTTGGATTTTGGTTTTAAATAGTAAAAATTTTAAATTGAAATAGTTGTTTGATGTGATATAAATATGTATTGATGTAATGTTTTGAATGTAAAATTAGATTTTAATGTAATAAAATAAATAAATAAATAAATAATGAGTGTTTGATTTGATATTTTTAAGAAAAAAAAAAAAGAGTTAAATTTAATAAAACTGGAAACCAAATTTCACAAGTAATTTGCAATTAATTTTAAAATTTAATACTACCTCCGTCCCGCTGCAAGATTCTCATTGACTTTTTGCATGTTGATCTCTGAATATTAATTATTATATTAGTACAAATCGAGAAAAAAAAATAAAAATATGTTTATTAGTCTCTTATAGTACCAATACTCTAATATTTTAGAGTAAATTATTCAAATATAAAGATATTTTTAATGTCAATACTTGAAGATAAAAACCAAATGACAACCTTGCAGTGAATTGAGAGAGTACATACATTTATTAATAATAATTGACTAAAGCTTATAAATATGGGCCGTCTAGATGTTGTATCATTGGACTATTTGTGTTTCTAAATGGGCTTACTATTCATTGCCCTAAATAATTGGACAAATCAAATTTTGTTTGTGGGCTTTTTAATTTTATTCACGGCTCATGAGTTATTTACTCTCGTTACAATAAAATATAAATCGACAATACAAATATATGTTAATTTTACGTATGCCAAGGGAATGCTAAATTTAATGGTGTGTTTTTTTGATTGGTTTGGAAAAAAAAATAATTTGAATTTAATATTAAAATAATATTTGATAATATATTTTGTTTGAATTATTATTTTCTTTTTAGAAAAAACAGAGTTTATAAAAAAAATAGACATACACTTCGAACAATCAATTGAATTTATAATAATTATAGTGAAAAAAATTAATAAAGTTATTACTACAAAATAAAGAGCTTGTTTGATATTATTTGAAATTAAAATAATATTTTATAAAAAAAAAGTAATACATTTTTTCTTATTAAAAATCAATCTTAATTTATAGTGAAAATTTTAATTTTAAATTAAAAACAAACACGTCCATTGATGTAATGGATTTAAAGTAACGGTAGTATATTTTACTATCTCAGTCCTATACTTACATTTTTTTTATATATATTTATATTATATTAAATTATAGTAAAAAATACAAAACTATTTCTATTAGCATTATATAATATAAAAATATTATTAACTTTAAACTAAAAATATTTTTATAATGTTAGATAGATAATACAATTATTAAGTTAAAAAATAATATCATTTGTTTATGAGACAAAATTTAAATTAAATATAACTATTAATATTATTATATAATACAAAATATATTTCTTTAAATTAAATACGAGTACATAAAAATATACTCCATCTGTTCCAACATAGATTGTTTAACATTTTCTATTCACATACATTTCATATAATTTGTCATTTTATTTTTTAAATATAATTATATATTTTAATTATATTTTAAATTTTATTATTTATAATTTTCTTAATTTTAATTAAATTAATATTTTTTTTTGATATGATTAGAATTTTCCATTATGATTTATATATGATAGAATTTATTGTATTTAAGATTTAAAATCCTATACTATGTTTGGTTGGTAAATTTTTGGGATTTATATTTTCAAATCCAGTTTGTTTTACAACTTAATTGAAGGATTTTGATTTTTGATTTTTTAAACGACGTTCACGAGTTTTATTTATTATAATAAATTAAATTTTACATCCATTTTTTTAACTTTATTTTTTTACTAAATTTAGTGTATTTTAATAAAAAAATTCATAGGATTTTCATTTAATAATAAAAAAATATAATATATATAGATAATATATAATCTATATACTAAAAAATGTGACAATTTAATTATGTTTTATACTATCGACATTCTTTTTCATATTTAATATAAAAAATATTTTAAATTTAAAATACAACATTAGTACACCAGTAAAATAAATTTCAATTATTAATTAATATTTTAAATTATTAATTTATTTAAATTATTACTAGTAAAATAATTAAATATAAATAACATTAATGATTATAAATAAATATATGATTTGTAGTATATGCTTAAATATAATATTATATTCTATAAAATCAATCCAATATAATTTAAATATAAATATGTATATATTTAATATTAAAAAAAAAGTAGGATATAATAGTAAAATGCAATGATACCAAATTTTAAATTAACAAAAAAATATATTATTACTGAAAATTTATAGGATTTTAGAATCTCACACCGTTAAAATTACATCTTTCAATTATAATTTTAAAATCCAAATCTTAATATATTCAACCAAATCCATGTATCAAACCGCCTCTAACATAAAAATCTATAAAAGAAAAAAAAACAAAAAAAGGAAGAAAAATTACACCACAAAATTACCTCCTACAGTCGCCGCCCCCGTTTCTCTTACCTTTCCTCTTTTCCTTCTTCTTTCGCTCTACCTTTTCCTTCTTCTTCTTCTTCTTCTCGCCCTGCTGCTGCTCTACCGCCGGTCGTGAACCTCATCGTCGTCTTGAGGTATTATTATTCCACGGCTTCGTAAGTTCATATCTTGCCCTAATTTTGAATTATTTGCTCTTTTCAATTTCAATGCCTGCTATTATGAGTATTTAGGGTTTGCAGAGGGAGTCGGTAATTTCCTGCTAAAACTTATTCTCGAACCGATGCAGTTTTGCCACTCTCTGCCACCATGAGCACCGCCAAGTCCCGCAACTTCCGCCGCCGCACTGACGATGTCGAAGAGGAAGATCAGCCCTCTACGGCTCCATCCACTACCAAGCCGATCGGTACTTCTTCCTCCTCAACCAAATCCTCCACCATGAATAAACCTAAAAAGCCTGCGTCGAAGCCACCGGTGAAAAGCCTTCTTTCCTTCGCCGATGAAGAGGACGAATCACCGTTCTCTCGCCCGCCTCCTAAGCCCACATCTTCGCGCTCATCCTCGTCGCGTTTTTCGAAATCATCGGCTCATAAGCTCACCTCTTCCAAGGACCGAAGTGCACTGCACGCCCTGTCGTCTGTCCCGTCCAATGTTCAGCCCCAGGCAGGAGTTTACACTAAAGAAGCTCTCTTAGAGCTTCAAAAGAATACCAAGACCCTCATTCCCCCCACAGCCCGCAATAAGCCCAAGCCGGAAGCAGAACCTGTTGTTGTGTTGAAGGGTTTGATAAAGCCTGCTTCGAATGAGTCAGATTCGATAATGGCTGGTAGAAGTCATGGATTTGATGAGGAGAAGGCAAATTTTGATCAAAGGCTTCGAGATTCAAGTGTTGAGAGAGACGACACGTTATCAAGGTTGAAGGAAATTGGATTAGGGCAGGGCCTCAGTGAGGATAAAGAAGGGATACCGGACAAAGCTACTATAGAGGCAATTAGAGCAAAGAGGGAGAGGCTGAGGCAGGCCAAGGCTGCAGCCCCAGATTATATAGCATTGGATGGAGGGAGTAATCATGGTGCAGCAGAAGGTTTGAGTGATGAGGAACCTGAATATAGGGGGAGAATTGGTTTATTCGGTGAGAAAGTTGCTGGTGCTGATAAAAAGGGTGTGTTTGAGGATTTTGAGGACAGGGCAATGCCGAAAGTGAGGAAATTCGAGATGGACAGTGATGATGAGGATGATGAGGATAAAATGTGGGAGGAAGAACAGGTGAGGAAAGGATTAGGAAAGAGGTTAGATGACAGTGTTGGAAGTCAAGGAGTGGGCGGTGGTGTCAATGGTGTTAGTAGCATTCGGAAGAGTGATGGTTTGCAGCCGAGTTTTGGATACACTGGCGCAGGACATAGTGGGATGTATTCTGCTGTGCCAAATGTGGATGTTGCAGGTGGATATAGCAGCATTGGAGGGACTGGTGTGGACATATTCAGCAACAATGTTATGTCGTTATCTCAGCAGGCTGAGCTTGCTAAGAAAGGGTTGCATGAGAACCTTAAGGGGGTTGAGGTATGCCATATTTCTATTGCTACAAGTTTTCATGTTTGATGATTTTAGATTGGTGGATATGGCTGAGTTTTGGATCAGCTAGTTTCTTTTGATTAAATCTCTCCTATCTTTTTGAAATTTAATGCTGACTTGAAAAATTATGTATTTTCATGTTTCAGGAATCACATGCTAAAACTATGGCATCGTTGGCCAAAACCAATGAAGATATATCTTCTTCTTTGCTGAATATTTCTTACCTTGAGAAAGCTCTAACTGATGGTGATAACATGTACCGCTTTATGCAACAGCTACGTGATTATGTTTCAGTTATATGTGAGTTTTTGCAGGTATGGGTTATCTGTTGAGTTATGTGTTCTTCTACTTATGGTTAATTTGTTGGCACACACATTTACATTGCTTTGGTAGCAGCTTGTCCCTCCTATTGGTACAGTTCTAATTCAGTTCCTGAATACTATTCAGTATCTTGGCTCTATTTTTAGTTGATCAGGCCATAGTGCACACATGCTTGTTGTCTTATTACATTCAATTTATTTTGAGGTCCATGTGTTGATACATATTCACTTGTGAAGTTGAGTATTAAGGGTTTACAAGCATTGCCTACTGATTTACATTAAAATGGGAACATTTCTAAATATGTATGTATGTTTGTTTGTTTGTTGCCTAATGCATCTATGGATGAAAGATGAAACCCTCTGCCAATATTGTCCTCACTTAAATTATATTTGAAATTGTGTCTATATATGGATATGTCGCGACTTACCCTTGATATTTAATTGTTTATTGCTGCTAGTGTATACACAGTGTGCTGATAGCATTGGGATTCATCATCTAGTGGGTGAAATAGAATAGACTGTAGAGCCAGTGTGTACAAAATGACACACTCAATAACATTGAAAGCCTTGTTAAAGTTCATACCTCTTTTTGAAACACAGGCACCAATTATTCAGTAACTTTTCTGTTTTGAGTTGTAATCCATGGTCCATGGTTATGAACTTAAAGATTCATAAACCACTGGAATGGTGTTTTTTTTTTATTTTTTTGTAATAAACACACACACCCAATTTCTTGGGACTGCCTGAATTTGAGCTTGAGTCACAAGCCTCTTTATGGTAGGATGCCACCACTTGGCTATAGTCAAGTTGGCAACCACTGGAATGTAGTGTTTTTAACATCAACTAGAATCCACTTTATCAGTAAGAAATAAATTGTGGATAAAATTTCTTATTGGAGGTATTTCTTTATGAAATGTCGTGATTATTATTAATTTCAGCACTTTCATTGCAGGATAAGGCTCCATTTATTGAGGAACTTGAGGAACAAATGCAGAAGCTTCGCGAAGAACGTGCAAGAGGCATATCAGAAAGAAGAGTAGCAGATGATGATGATGAAATATCTGAAATAGAACAAGCTATTTCTGCAGTGCGGACAGAACTCCGTAGAGGAGGAAACAATGCTGAGAAAGTGGCAGCAGCTGTTGCTGCTTCCCAGGCTGCAGCTGCTAATGCAAGAGCCTTGAAAAGTGCACCTGTTAAGCTAGATGAATTTGGTAGGGATGAAAATTTGCAAAAACGAATGGAGATCACGAGAAGAGCAGAAGCTCGAGAAAGACGGAGGGCGAAAGCTGATTCTAAAAGGAAGAGAACAATGGAAAAGGATAGTTCTGTTCTACATATAGAAGGAGAATCGAGTACTGATGAAAGTGATAGTGAGAGTGCAGCTTATAAATCAAACCAGAATCAATTGCTGGAGGTTGCTGAGAAAATATTTAGCGATGCATCAGACGAGTATTCTCAATTTTCAAATGTGGTTAAAAGATTTGAGAGTTGGAAAAAAGCATATCCATCAAGCTATGGCAATGCTTATATCTCATTAAGTATTCCTTCTGTCTTCTCCCCTTACGTGAGGCTTGAACTTCTGAAGTGGGACCCTCTTCACGAACATAAAGATTTCATGGACATGGAATGGTATGTCTAGAAAGTGTTTATTTATTTTAAATATGAACACTCATATCCACTCAAGATCTTACATGCTTTACATGGTTAATTGAAACTCTTGGCCTGTAGAGTGGAGGGAATGGGGGTTGATAATACTGGCAGTGTAAGATATGATTTGCTAACTATATTTCTTGTTATTTTCCCCCAAATCGGTTTTCTTTCTGTATTTTCTGCTTTTAATGCCACAAGTATATAATTATGCCATCTTTTTTGACTGTCCACTAAACTTATGCATAATTGTAAACAATTTATTCCACCCACAATTTCATTATTTCTACTTTAACAAATAATAAACAATTTGTTACTGTTTTTTTACTAACTTTTTAGTAAATTTTTCATAATACTTTCATTTTATTTTTTACCTACCCCACTTTTATATGAAAATATTATTATTTTTTTAGTCTCCTTGTCCGGACAATATGGCATAAAGAGACCGGGCGGAGGGAGTAATATGTATTAAACAAAGAATTTTGGGGTTGTGCTTCACATGCTAAGTTATAGAGAATTGCCTTTGTTTCTGTTTATTTTTTCCGGAGTTAGTTTGCTTTGCCTATATGTTGGTTTCAATAATATAAGCATTTGATGCATTACTTTGTATTTGCATGTATTAAAAATTAGTTTTGGGATGTGCTTCATGTGCATTTCTTAGAGACTTGGCTTGTCTGGAGATTGTTTTGATACACCTGGTACTTTAGATAAAGTTTGTAGTTGCACAGGCATAAGCAGTATAAATCTATATAATCGTGACTGTTACGGCATCTTAACACAGACGTTAGGAAAGATATTTATATTGCTTGGAAGTGTTATGCTACCCTCTACTGGTGCATTTAGTTGGAGCGGGGATTTGGGGTTTTAATTATTTCCATTCTCTCCTGATTAATTTAGTGCTACTAGAATTAAATTTTGGAAATGATTGCCAATGTTTTTCTTACAAATACGTATTCTTTCTGGAACATTTGGATTCAGATTTCTATGTAAAACCAAATGCCTGGTGCATCTAAACAAATTGCATATTCTATTGAATCTAATATCTAATTATTTTTTTATTCTAGGCACTCGTTACTATTCACTTATGGCCTTCCCGAGGATGAGAACACGGTCAATGGAAAGGTTGATTCTGATGCTGATGCGGATCTTATTCCCAAACTGGTTGAAAAACTTGCAATTCCGATCTTACACCATCAGTTAAGTTGTTGTTGGGATATGCTCAGTACCAGTGAAACAAAGCATGCTGTTTTCGCTATGAACTTAGTAATTGGATATGTAGACCTTTCCAGTTCAGCACTTATGGGGCTGTTGTCTGTTCTCCGTGATCGTCTCACCAAAGCTGTGGCTGATTTGATAGTAATATTTCTAAACCTTTCAACTGCATTTTACTGAACCTCTCTATGTTTTCATAACAAAGCATACTTTGTAATGACCGTATTATCGGATTATTTCTTAGCAGCAGTTTTTGTCTTGTGGTTTACGAATGCAGGTTCCCACATGGAGCCCATTAGAAATGCAGGCAGTACCAAATGCAACACGAGTTGCAGCATATAGATTTGGCATGTCTGTCCGCTTGATGAGGAACATATGCCTCTGGAAGGAAATTCTGTCTATGCCTGTTCTTGAGAAGATTGTGCTTGATGACCTTTTATGCAACAAGATCCTTCCACATCTTCACAGCATACACTCGAACATCCATGATGCGATTTTACGAACTGAGAGGGTTGTTGCTTCATTACTCGGTGTCTGGACTGGGCTCGGTGCTACAGGGGATCGCAGGTATGATTTTTTTTCACAAAATTTTCAGTTTTTAATGCTGCAACTGTTGTTTTTTGCTTTCTGAACTCTTCTCTGACCTGTCTACCATCATGTATTGGATAAAGTATAGGGGGACCGTTGGAATACATTTTATTTTACGACATCCCTTACGCGTCCAACCTTTGTGATACTTACAGTTGCTAGTTGTAACTGTGCAATTTTCTGATTTTTATGTTTGCTGTTTTGCTTGAATTTAGCCGGAAGTTGCAGCCGTTGGTGGACTACTTATTGCTGATCGGGAAAACACTGGAGAGAAAGCAAATTTCGAGTTCCATGGAAACTGAAACTGGGAAATTGGTTAGACGATTGAAAAAAATGCTTGTGCAGCTGAACGAGTATGACCATGCAAGAGCAGTCTCAAGAACCTTTAATCTCAAAGAGGCTCTCTAACATACTCTTGTCATCTTGTTCATGTGTCAACACCTGCAATTCAGGTTGGATTATCTTGTACAATTTTGGGGTAGTTGCAGAGTCGGCATTCCCTTGTGAGTGATTATTAGTTTGTTTATACCCTTTTAATGAGCTTACAGGCAAAAGAATTCTCTGTGAAATGTTATATAACCTATGAATCGATGCTTTTTTTTTTGTTTTTGTTTTTTAAGAAGCACAGGTTACTTTTAGGGTATGTTTTGTTTAGTTTTTTGGTTTAGATAGTAATTGTTTGTGATGTTTTATGAAATAACTAGCGTGAAAGGGTTATTTTTATATTAAATTATATACTTAATTTAATAATTTTTATAAATAATATTTAAATATTTTCTATATAATTATATATTTATATGGTTATATAAAATATACTACTTCAATCAAATCAGCTTAATACACTTTTGAAAAATTATATATACAATTGTATTATTAAATTTTAAAAATTAATTAACTCAAATAAAATTATAAAAGATGAAAATAAATAAATATATATATGTTAACAACAAGTGCACTCTATTTTTTTTTTAAATAATTTTTTATATTATTTACATTTTTTTTTTCGTACTTAATATTATAAATCTCAAATTTGAAATATAAACTACCAGTCTTAATATTTGTTTATTTTTTTATATTTTTTCTGAAATGATTTTTTTAATCTTTTAAGATGACTTTTCTATTAGGCATAAAAAAAAATCATATATACAAATTAAATAACTCATAAAAAATTTAATTACAATAAATCTATAATATATAATAAATATAATTAAAATTATAAAATATTATTAGGATAATAAAATTATTTTCATCTATATCTTTCATTAAAAAGTTTGTCCATTTTTCTATCTTTAAATGACAAAACAAAAACTAAAAAAATTTAAAAATCATAGTGTATAAAATAATAAATATAACTAATAATAATAAAATTAATATATAATCAAACAAACTTATAAAATATTACAAATATAATTAAAAATTAAAGTAAACACAATTATTTTCTTCTGTATTTTCTGTTTTTAGATTTTTTTTTTATTTATCAGTTTGAATTTAAAAAGAAAATTATACATAAAAAATTATATTTAAATAAATACATAAATATTTCAAATTTAAATTTAAAATATTTTTACCATAATAGTATTGCTTTCCTTTAGTAGTACTTTTTATCTAGTAGTACTTTTTATCTAGATTATTTTCAACATCTTTTTTATTTATCTATTTGAAAAAAAAAACGTACGGAAATTATATTTAAAAAATAGTTAATAGTGATAACACAGTATCTAATAAATTTATTAAATATAAAAAATATAAATTATAAATATTTTTATCGTAATAGTTTTGCATATTTTTTTCTATTATAACGGACAACAATCCGGTAGCTTTCCGATAACACCTTCAAACAACAATGAATTAAAAAATAAAACAGATAGTGTTGCAATAATAATAATAATAATAATATATCTACAAAGTGAAAAAAAATAAAAAATCAAAACAATAATTTTAAAATCAAATCGTTGACATAGATGCACATAACATATACTAATAATAATAATTATTTAAAAAAAAATAAAAATATTTTTTTTTAAAAAAATCAATAAATTGATATAACTATAAATTGGTTGGAGCATTTTGTCCCCACTTGTGGGTATCTTAGGAAACTTTTCAGAAGATCATCTATCTCAGAATTGTGCAAACATGTGTTCATTTGTGTTATTGTTTTATTTTATTTCTATTTTGATGCTCTTGAGATGAGATGAAAATGATTGTTGAATGGAATATTTCTTGTATAGAAAACAGGTTTTCATGTGATATTCTTGATGAAAAATAATAGATTGAACAGTAAATATTTTGGAAAAAAAAGGGAGATAAATAGCAAAAGGATATCTTTTCTAATTTCATATATTATTTCAGAGATAAATTTCATTTTGAATTTTCAACACTTGTAGTTTATAAATCAGAGAATGTGGTGATTATTGAAAGAGAAAACCATGAATTGTTACTTAGATTACAAATCTACCAATATTAGGACATTAGCCATTGTTGAGTTCAACAATCTCATTGTCTGTTAAATCCTTGCAATAAAAATAATTGTGTTCATCTTAGGTGATCTTCTATATTATTGTCACTGAAAAATAAAATTAATGAGATCCTATTATATGCTGGATTTATTTGAATATTCAATCACTGAAATGATTTACACTTTACTACATTGCCTTCAACATAGCTTGTTTGCACATTTGTTCGATTCTATTCCAATTCTAGTGGCATTATAAAAAACCCGAATCGATACAGAAGAGATGAAACTAAAAATGAAAATGTACATACATAGGGTTTACATCTATGAAATACATGTTCTTGAATTCAAAATGACTTGTAATGAGAAACTTTGTTGCAAGTGTTGCTTCTTTGTCTCTCCAGATTTGCTGAGGCAGAAGACATATCCCCAATTATATTGGTTTCTCCATTACTGCTTCAATGGCTTCCTGGATTGACCTTATACACCTTTGCTGATCATCATCAATATTTCTATTCACCTTTTTTTCTTCTTCTTCTTCTTCTTCTTCTTCTTCTTCTTCAGTAATGAACAGTATGATCTTTACTCTGCCTTGGAGAGTGGTGATTTCAGCTTTCAGTGCTTGCAATCGCAGGCCCTTAAGTGTCTGGATCAAGTCTGGCAAGAGGTCTATCCTGTCTTGGCAGCAGATCGATGCTTTGATGATCTGTCTGCCGGCTTCATCCCAACCGCAAGTGTCGACAGTAAATTCATCGAATTCCGATGGGAAGAGACTTGTTTTGGAGATTTGCGAGGCTTGCCCCTGCAGCTCCTTCACATGCTGGATCACTTCAGCTAACAATGAAGCTTTGTCTGTCTGAAATTCCCAAGTAAAAAATTAATATAGAGAATTAATTCATTGAGAAGAAAATGATGCAACGAGCAACGAGAAACCTTAGTATTTGTTGAAAGTCGATTGTAGGTTTTTGCCAAGAGTGAGAATCTGATTATCATAGGAAAATAGAATAGGATAATAGAAGAAAGGGTTGTTTCTTGATTGAATTAAAAACAATATGAAAGATGTCGATAAAAGGCTATGTTATGCTCTCTCTATCCCAATTTAATCGATACATTTTCTATTTTTGTCATATTTTTATTTTTTTGTAAAAGGTATTAAATTAAAACATACTAACGAATATAAATCAATTTTATTTACTTGACTATTCAAAATTCTTTTGTTTATGTCTTTTTTTAAAAAAATAAATATTTTTATTTATCTTTAAAAATTTACATCTTTTATAAAATTAGTTTGTGTTAATTATAAATAAATAAATCTTTTTTTATTTACTTTTATACTCTACAAAATAATATCTTTATTATTGCGATATAATTTTTAAAATATTTAAATACATATTCTAATTTTTGTTAATTATATATATATATTAAATTTATTTTAAAACTACTAATATTATTAATTATATAAAATAAAAAAAATAATATAATAATTCACTCTTATTAATTAATTAAATATTATTGTCTTAAATACCGTATTACTGATGAAACGTGCCATTTGAGTAGGGAGGAATTAGTAAATATATTACTCCCTCTGTCCAAGATATCATATCCACGTTGCCGTTTCTCTCCGTCCTATACCATGTCACTTTCCTTTTTTTGGAAAATAATTACGCATTTTAATCTCATTTTAAATTTTTAAATTTTATTTTTTTTAATTTTAATTAAACTAATTAGTTATCTTAATCTTAATTTATAATTATTTATATTATAGAATAATTAGTTTCACTAATATCTTAATTATCTACTAATTACACCCCTTCTAAAATACAAACACTATATCTGGGACGTACGGAGTATAATATTAGGGTTTGGATATGAGTGAGTGGTGGGAACCAAAAAGGCTAATTGTAATGGTTAACAGAGACTAGGCAGGCAGGCAGGCGTGCAGTCGAATGATTCTTTGTCTGTTTGTCTCTCTTCTTATTTTTAGGTGTTCCAGTACTACTCTCTCTCTCTATAGATATATATATTATATATAATGTATGTATCTGTGTATATAGGTGGGCCTCCTGCAAGAAATTTCCATGAAAACTTTTCAAAACGATACCCTTTTGAGCCCCACCTTTCTTTCATTCCACCAAATTGTCGTCAATCACTTGAAATGAGGGAGGGGTCTCAAATTTGTGAAATTAATTCATCTAATTAGTAAAACTTAATCTTTTTGAAGATTGGAATTTCAAGATTCGTTATCAGAACGGCACGACAATTGTAAAATTAAACAAATTAAAGTAACCACAAGTAAAAAACAAAAAAACGCAGACACAGTGAATTAACGCATATGCAAATTAACGAATGAAATATATATGGGATTGATGGGAATATATATATATATTGTACTTACTTTGGTGGTGGTGGTGGTGGTGGCGGCGGGGAGCAAGGTCCTTAGGTTGGCAAGATGGTTATTGATTCTCTGTCTGCGTCTCCTCTCAGCCTCGCTATGACAAACCCTACTGCTTCTGGAGACTGCTGCTGCAACTGCCTTGCCGCCATCGCCATCTACAGGGTGTTGACCAGCGAGCTTCTGCAGCAGCAGCAGCCTCAAATTAGGGTTTTGCATCACTGCTCCTAACAACGGCGGCTCATCGGAAAACCCTCCGTAGAGTGGCGGCTGTGGTGGTGGAGGAGGAGAACTGTAACGGCAACAGCAGTAGTAGTAGTCATCACTTGCAGTACTGCTACTGTGTTGCTGCATCATTGTTAATTATCTATCTCATCGGTGTTTTCATTAATTACTTAAACTGAAAAATCAAACAAAACCCTAGAAATTTATTCAATCTGTGGATGACCAGGAATCTCAACTACCTCATGCAAATCAAATCAAATCAAATCGAGCAAAACCCTAATTTAGGCATAGAAGGGAACTCATGAATGATGTATGTTGAAGAGAGGGAGAGAGATAATGATAGTGAAGAAACTGATCATGTAATTAATAGTACTCATTTTCTTCTTTACAGTATTGTGCTGCTTTGTTGGTATCTTTTTGGTTCATCTGTTTTCTTCCCCTTGGACCCTCCACTACCTGTCTGTCATATATATATATATATATATATATATATAAACAAAAAGGTGCACTTATTAGTGAATGTCTTATATGAGAATTCAA